CGTGATTATTTTCATCTTGATTACATAGTATTTCTTGTAAAAAAGGTTCCTGAGACTAGGAAAAGATTTGAAACAATCTTTCTCGATAATATTCTTTCAAGGGTATTCTTCTTATAGGTCATATAATACTCTAATAGTTTTAATACAATTTTTAATGAGAATTTTTATGACTCAATCTCCAGTAGCCCACTATCGGCAAAAAGCCGTTGCTTTAACATCGTTACAAAACAAGTTTGTCTCGATTGGGCGACCCCCTCTCAACCAACAGCAGCGGTGCACATGAATAAATATTTATAGGCACGTATTCTTATGTGAACATATGTACTTATATAAATAAAAAGTAAAATACATATGTAATAGATAAATATATATATACTCGTACCACGATTGTGGGAAGAGACAGAGAGAGACGAGCATATCAAAATATATATTATCGGAATTAAATCGTCAATCAATTTGATTTTATTATCAATTTGCCAATAAATTTAGATAGGAGTAAACCACACAGATACCGCCACATCGATCAACCAATAAACAAATGTAGTTTCTAAATGAAACTCTTATGGAAACTCTGTTCATTTTGTTATCTTATGTGGTTGCTCATTAATTAAGACCATGTATGTACTTACGAGAATGGAGGTGCTGATGGTCAGTGGCATTGTCGTAAAGGTGGTATGATATTTACAGAGGTGACACAGAGAGTTCTCTGAGTGTTCGTTTTTCATGGGAATGACTATAACTATATATGAAAGTTTCTTACAGTTCTCGGACGGTTCTGCTATTCTTAGAAAGTCGGGAAACATTTTCAATACCTGTAGAAAGTCCCCCTTTAACCATGAAACTCGTGGAAATTTACGACCTTTTCCACCTGATAATATTTGACAGGTTTCCCTTTTGCAACAAAACAACTGAATTTTGATTTATGATTGAGAGTGTTGACATCATCGACAGGGGGAGGCCTTGACCACAATCAGTGTAATGACTTTTTGGGGCTGGGCTGCCATTTCTATTCCCAATTATTATTTATTCCTTGTAATCAGTTGAGCAATATCTCAAGTGTAGAAACCAGCCCAAAAAGGCTTTTAGCTAAAAATCCAATTTGGGGAAAAACGAACAACGTAGAAAATTGTTCATGCCAAATCGATTTTAAAGCTTTTAATTACGGTCCAGTTGGTTTGGGGCTGACCGGAATATTTTTATCAGAATGCAGTCATAATGTTAGAAAACTTCTTTGAAATTTGGTTTGCTAGATAAAAACCAAAGTTGTCGTTAAGCGGTGTGATTATGACGATAGTAAAAGCTATTAATACTCAATTTAAGAACATTAAAACTTGAAGGGAAATCAAATTCCTTTTCTAATGTTCTTTCTCGAATCAATATTTCCTCTGAAATCCCAGTTAGGGGGATTCTAATGCCTTATCGTCTGCTGCCATGGCGCCTACCCCTCGCGACGACTGATATATGTACATATGTACTTATATATTCCTATAGAAATACAACAAAGAGTGAATGAAACCCCAACAACTGACAATTTCAATGCCATTTCTGATACAAGTTTTTTTTTGGATCGGCCGCCCTCTCATCCGGCGCCTGTCAGACAGTCAGTCACTCAAACCACGTCCCAGTCACAAATTTGTCGCAAAAAACCGCAAAATGATTTGTAGATACCCTAGCAGAGAGGATATTATAGGTTTCAACATAAGTCGAGATCATCTAGATCCATCGGTTTCTATGAGTTTTTTAGCTTTCAGTTTCGAGCATTCTATAAAGTTTGCAGACTGAAGAATGCAGAATGAAGTTGTTTCGTTGTACAAATATACCCATAAGCGAACGGATACACATTCGTTGCATTTCCATAATCTAATAAACGTTTTGGTTGTGAAAGGGTATCTAAAACGTCCGTACACTGAAAAGCATACCCACACTGGCTCTGCTTCGCTTTGCCTTGATTCTTGTTTCTTATTTGGGTTCTCTGCCTCTCATTTATGTTGGGTTTTCTCTTTAGGTTTGTCATCCATCCGCGACACATACATATGTATGTAAATTTTCTTTTTGGCAACTCTTTTTTATGCTCTTGGCTTTATGCTGATGAACATTTATTATTTGGAAGGTCTGCCAATGGCAGAATACTTCTGCTTTCTCTCTGAATACTTTTTGTATCTCTCTCTCTGAATTTATCCTGCACATGTCTCAAGATTACATGGTTAAGAGCAGGTTTAAGGATTTCATGTGTAATGTTTTCTTATGATGTAAAAAGACCTAAAGGACCTGGTGTGATAAAGGTAGAGGAAAATGTAAAAGTAAATTTATGCTTAGTCTCTTAAGAAGAGGAGACACAATTTATTAAATTTGTTAGTAACAAAATTAAAAATAATAAAATTAAACAAATAAATAAAATGAAATAATTGATTCTAGAAAAAAATAGAAATAAATCATAAATCATACCTCCAAAAATTTTAAATCTTAAAACTTGTAAGAAAATATTAGATATAAACTTTTAAACATTTTGTATGTAATCATATCCAATATATATTAGTAACTTTTCAATTAAAATAAAAAAAACCACATATCTATGGCAATTCCTTACTCCTGCAACTCAGTTTCTATCCATTCCATTCCTGGTACAGTCCCATCAAAATGCCACCCTGTCAGGTGGATACCCTTGGATGTTTCGATTTTCTACTTATTGAAAAGTGTGAATTCGTGCTACCTGTCTAGTAGTATAAATGACTTAATATCAAAAATCTGATAAACATTACACTACAAAGAGAAAAGAGGAATACTCGTAAATATTTATTACCTCTACGGAACGTAAGTTTACAAAACAAAATTCACCTGTTTCAGCAGGTTGGGTGATAATGATCATCAAATAAGCCACTTGCCTCTGATGGGACATGCTTCGGCATTCATTCATTCATTCAGAAAACAAATAATGGAATAAAATGTTATTTGAAAAACTATTTTTGCCGGAACACGCCTCAGGGAACCAGAAACCGATGGCGCCTAGACAATGGAACTTTTGTTCAGTCGTAAACAGTCATTATTCAAGTTGGCATCCACGGATAAATGTACATATGCGAGTGCTGCCCATGCACATCTGTGTATATCCTATGAGAAGGTCTTTTCGCATGTGGAAAACGTTTTACCGTATTTTTCCAACTTAAATTAAACTGCTAGCCGCATGCACTCATTCAGTTTTCCTGCCAAGTTCCTAAAGTATTCATGTGTGTTGATGTTCTGTTGTTGTGTTCTTCTATGTTCTCTCTGGTCTCTGGATAATCGCTTGGAACCGGTAATAGTGGGTTCTTACCGGTTGCATTTTTCATAAATCAATTGAGCATTTGATTTGTTTATAAATAATGTGTGTGATTCGCCCTGCTAGCAGCGATGGCATTTTTCCATTTAACCATTTTGTGTACAAGTGTGTGGGGCATTTTCCTATCGATTAGGCGATGCAGAAAGCGTAACGACAAACCTCAGAAGCTTTAGGGCAAGGTTCAAGCCAAAAAAAAAACAACTTGGTCAAAACGAATGGAGTTTTTGGTTAGGGAATGGGGATGGCGAATCATTTCCATTTCGGGCTTTAACCGGTGACCGATTCGGATCGATTGTAATGGTGTCTTTTCTGGTAAGGCAAATCAGGTTCTTACTCTACAAAAGTTACAATGCTTAACATGAAATTAAATTCTTACTCTTTAAAGATAAGCACAGTTTCTGCCAAAGTCCCATCAAATAATGCTCTGGACAGTTCCTGGTACAGCCTCGACAAAAACATGGATCTATACCTGTAATGTCACTTTGTTTCCCACCGCTCCAGGTACAGTCCCATCAAAATGCAACCCCCAAAAATGAATATATATTTGTTGTTTGCCATAATTCAATATTTTCTGTTTCATTTGCAAACAGTCTTTACGTGAGCGTCAGACAGACAGACAGACAAACTTGGTCCCTGGCCAAAATATATATCATGCCATATCCATTATATTCACATTGCTGCCCAATTGGTTATATTCATGAATATATACTAGACTTACATACAAATATTCGTTTGACCTTTGAAATTATACAATATTTTCCGCTGGCTAAACTTGAACTCTGCTGCTGGTAGAAAATCCTTACCTCAAATATTTAGTCGCACTCTTTGCGGGGCAAAGTAAACAGAGAGGTGATAAAGAAACAGAGAGCGAGAGCGGAATCAATCGCCGAGTATCAAAGCGGAAGAGGGGGATCAAGGGTTCGGTCCATAAAGTAAACTCAAATTAAATATTAACACATTTTCCGGGGCGATGTGCGAAGAAATCAATTAAATGGTGGCGCACTTGCTGCTTGATTTCCAAGGATTTCCTCGGGCCGTGCGATGTGCGACTCGGGAGGTGAAATGATTTCACCTACAGTGGATAGAGATATTCTATTCTATTCTATGATATATTTAAAGTGATTATCTGGGTGATAGTTAGAGTAACAGAAACTTTGGACTATATACTCATATTCCCCTAAAAAGTCTATGAAAACACGTGCTCATTTGCTATTGTCCTCATTTCCATTGATCCCCAATTAAATTCCACTATTAAGTAATCTATCCCTAATTGTGGCTACTTGAATCGCAAATTTCATCCACTGTTATGTTTTGTTAGAGTTCTCTCAAGCTATTAATTAAAACTGCTTGCCTAATTTATTTTACCTCGATTTAATCCAAAGAATTTATGTTAACGCTTCTTCGATTACAACCAAAGCGGCAGTTAATACCGGTTTGTTGGTTAAACGGTCTTTAATCAGAGTCACTGAACTTGAAAATAGCTTGTCTGTGTGTCTTTATGTCTGCTGCTAATCTAATCATCAGTTTGCAACAAATGGGGTTAGTGGTTCAAATCAATTTTTGAAGTTGAGTAATAGTCGTGTGCGGCTTGGGGTAGGACGGACAGGCTCTAAGGAATGTAAAGATCAATTTGATAGGAGGTAAAGAAATATGATTCCTATTATGAGAAAACAGCGGGCATCACTCTTTGGTCATCAATTTTAATTGAACAAATGTGAGAAATATGTATATAAAACTCTGTACAAACAGACTCTGGATTGCCTCCATGTGGAAAGTCCTTTTGTACCACGGTTCCAGTAGCAGCACAATTATATCTAATATCGAATAGAAAGCCCTGCATTAATCATTATCATTTATATTCTTGGGAGTATTACAAACCTTCCACTCAATTTACATTCGGATAGCCTCGGGTGAAGAAGAATAATTTTCAGGCAGTGCCATCAATAGAGAATTGCGGTCACGTTCTCCGTGAAAATTTTGAGGAAATTAACATCCTGAGACGCGGCCAAAGACTTTGAAGGAATTGATTATCGATTATTGAGAGTTCATGTGGGGATTTAATTTACATTCCTGGATGATGTTCCACTAAAATGTTACATCCAACGCTTACGCATGACGGGCAATGGCCATTCGCTTAAGGGAAATTTGTACAGCGAATCGTATAAAAGTACGAGTATCTCCACATCAACCTCGGAATGATATGCCAGATGATAGCGAGAGGATAAGGACATCCATCATCCACTTGATTGCAACATGTGTAGAGTAGAATTATTTAATTTAATTCGAGGACCGAGGCTTTATCTGGTTGTCGCAGTCGCACTCGCAGTCGGGGAGCGCGCACTTGATAGATAAGGCTTAATACCGGATCATATAATTTTTGCAAATAGTAATTGAAATCAGTTCTTATCGCGGTTGGCCGAAGCAGGGAACCGCAATCTAAATTCCGCCGACTACCAACATGGGCTCTGGGCACCTGAATGTCGGGCTGTTCGTCTTCTGTTTGCTTCTGCTTCTGGTTTATTGCTGGCCATATTTACTCCGGGTATTAACCAAGAGACTAATTTCGCATGGCGCTAAGTGCACTGGATCTATCCAGTTCGAAAAACAAATATTGTCTGTAGAGCAGAAGGTGGGGATACTTACCGCAAGATACTTATCATCTGTGTTGCCAAATCTTTGCTAATTTTTATATGTGAATTATGTTAATCAGAAGGGCTAACAATAGCCACTGGATTTAATATCAAATTAACGTTGGAAATAAACAAGAGCTATTAGTATTTAACTTTGATCGAATGATTACGAGTTTCAGCTAAACCTGGGTTTCAAAATCATTTACAAATGGACGAATGTTGTAGATGGTTCTAGGGATTACGTTAATGAAAAATATAAATATAGATACTTTCCTAGAAATTTATTATAATTAAATCTGGTCCATGATGAACCTTAATCGTAATTCGAATCGAAATCCACTCTGAAATTGCCCCAATATCTTCCTAAAAGCTTTTAAACTTCTGATCAATACGATTTTGTGCGCTAGACACTATAGAAAACAAATCCCTCACCAAAAATAATCAATTCAGAATTATTTCAATTATTTCCCTTTCTGATTCATACAAAAATCTATAAAAACTAAAAAACGAAAACAAACCCAAAATATTTATTACATTGACCTTCGAAACACTGTATGTAAAAGATTCCATCATTATCAAGTGTGAATGATTGATCCGCCGCTATATATTACACACCTACTCGAATCGGGTTGTACTCGATTGTGTGTGGGTGCTGGCTCGGAAATTGTGGAAAATCACGTGCCGCAGCCACAGATTGGATTGGTATTTCAGCTTTAGATTTTAGCACATTTGTGTTTGCACCTGCTTCAAAAAAGCCAAAAAGAGAGCTTCACCTGATAAGAAAGGGACTCTAAAGTCGATCGATTAAAGTGTGAATTATGGCATGGATTTTCGACTGAGTAAACACCAATAGATCTACAGATGATCTGTAGATGATGCACACAGTCTTCATGGTTAGTGAAATGTGTGGGTTCAATCCAGTTTCGATTGGTTATTGTGGAAGGTCGGTCGACCGGCGTGTGTAAGGGAGTGATAACAAAAATTAAGAAAAAATCCAAAAAAATAATTCAATATTTGTTAACTCTTTCCTTGCAGAAACTAAGCGAACAAGAAGGAGGCTTTAAGGAGTAACCAAGAACCTATGCCTATGCCTATGGAGTAGCCCAATTGAGCCTGGAAGCAACCCCCCAGAAACCCACAGGATATCCTTAAGGTGGCAACACAATGACCAGCCTTACGGAACAGGACTATGACAGTGCCACGCCAGCACTGCAACAGCAAATGAATCTGGCCAGACGCGCCTGCTGGAGCAGCAGAAGGGAAGGTCCCTTGAATGGTGCTATAGAGATTAGAGATGAAACCACAGCCAGACACAGGCACCGGATAGAATTAGCTGATCCAACAAATAATGAACAACCACCGATGAGAACTACCTGCAGCACATTAAATCAGAGGAGGCGACGGATGCCACACTGCAGTGGTGGTGGTGGCGGCCTTTTGGACCGAAGGATGCTGGTCCTTTGCGCCATCTTCTGTCTGCTGGCGGGCACCGCTCTGGCACGCCCCAACACCAGTGCCAGTGTGGGCGTGGCCTCTGCAGGCGATGGAGACGCTGTCACCCAAGTAAATGTGAGTACAAATTGCACACTGTTTCGGTGGGAGAGGAAAATGTTTAGTCGGTGTAGAGGAAAAACTATTGATATCGTGTCTTTTAAAAACTGATGGAACTTAAATACCACATTTACTAATTTAACGATTTAGCTGTAGTTTTGGTAGGCAAAATATATAAGCCATTATCCAAAAATCATTACGATCGGATAAATATTATATCCGGAGTTGAGAAAAGCATGTGCTTGGGAATAGAGAACTTTCTTTTGAAAGCTTTAAAGTTCTTTATATACGCTTAAATTGAGAAGTAATGGGAATACCAGGTATTCTAATGCTTGTAACATTTAAGTACATAGATTTAAAGCTGTTCAAATACACAATTTCGAAGTTTAGTTAGTAAATAACCAAAGAAACATGTACTTATAACAAATCTGAATGTTTAGAATAGCATTTAGGGTAAATAGTAATATGGATTCCAAAGCTCATTGCTCTAGCATTTATAGTGTCCGAAAGCCAGGTGTTCAAAGAGCCCAACCAGAGGTGCGCTTCTGCTAATTTTGTTCATTCTGGCTATAATAATGTTCCGATCGTAAAGTGCTTTTGCAACCGGGAAGATATGTTTATTCTTAATGATTCTGCCTTTACAGTCTTGGCATTTTTTCAAAATTGTGGATGCCATAGATGCCATTCTGCATACGAAATCTGGTTGCACTAGCTCCTATAGTCTCTAAGATTTAAAAAAGAGAGTCAATCTACAACCAGTTGGCAGTCCCTCCCGAATATCATAAAAAAGGCACGGTAATAAAGCCAATTAGTGATGTCCGAATGAAAGACGCCGCAATGTTTTGATGATGGGAAAATATTTTTGATGACAATTCGACAGAATAGATCTAGAGATGAGAAATTCCACTCCGAATGCAATTGCAATTTGCAGTTGATGATTGGTTATCATTGAAGTGCATTTGAGTCTACAAAAACTGACAAAATATTTACACAATACTCGCTTCATGCCGTTTTCCGTCTGTTAAATTAGCTCATAAACATGTCAATGGGGAGGAGTGGGAGATGGAATTGTGCGATGTGTCTATATGTATAAATACTTCAATACGCAAATAGAAAAAAAGATAATACGATTCATGGAAAATTTATTTTGATGGGTTTGTAAGTTTTCCATCAATTTTTCTGAGAGATAAATCGCCAAACTATTTCTGCGCTTGTCTTCTAGGGGATGACAGCTTTCAATAGCTCACATGACTGGGAGATAGCTAAGGAGTACCTTATCGTAAGCCCCCTTTTGATCGATTGACGTCACATTTATCTGTCTGTCTGTCCAGCTCTATTCCAGTGAGACTTCACATCGATTTGTCTCTCTGTCTAGCTCTATCGTAGTGGCAAACATTTCCTTATTGCCCTTATGGCTCTATAAATAGACATTGACAATTGAAATTCGATTTGTTGAAACCCACTAAACCACATTGCGAGAAGCCAACCATTAATTAGCAAAGTTTCTTGACGTCATCTACGCATTGAAGTTGAAGAGATACTCGCATATATGTATCTGTGTATCTCTCAAACAACTTTCATTTGCAGGCCAAATGATTAACCTTAATTCTGTATACCCTAGTGCGATATTCATTGAATCTGTGTGACATATCCCCATACGAGATTCCATAGATGGCTAGCCTTCTTGTTAAGACTCGCTCACTCACTGACCTAGATCAACATTTTCAGCGGCCTGAATGCCGTAATTTATGCATAGACATTAGGTTTCGGTTCTATTCATTCACGAAAATTCAGAGTTCTGTTCGGCGTTCGGGCGGTCCATTAATGAAAATGATTGTAATTTTCCGTTGGCGTGCTGCTAAACGTTACCCAAACTCACGGCTAAAGCCGAGTGCTCCGCCGTGCTCGCCATGGTTAATCCTCACTTGATTTATGTTTATTCTGGACCTGATTTTCCTCACATTAAATGCCCTGTCAAATATTTGATGTTGGTTTTTGTTGGCCAGTTATAAACTCCCCCCAATATCTGAATCATTGTGTATCCACAGCTGGCAGAGACAGCAGCGACAGCAGGAGGCGAAGATGCCACAGCGCCGCCTGTGAAAGCACCACGGGCGGAATCCCTGGAGGAGCCGACTGTCTTGGAGATGAAAGCAGACGAAGAAGATGGTGGAGGTGGAGAACATCAGAAGATAGAGCGGTATCCGCTCTCCCAGGTTGACTTTGGTCATGTCAAGACACCGTTCATCATTGGAGTGTGGATACTCTCGGCTAGTATAGCCAAAATCGGTAAGTAAAAGGCATTTACACAGTCAAAATTGGTAGAAGTAGTAGAAGGGTTCACAGCACATAGAATTCGATTTTTTCTTTAGGTTTTATCTTGTCCTTATGTCCTTTCGATTATGAGAAATGAATTTATCTCAAGGTAAAGATATGCAGTGGTTTGAAAATTTTAGCAACAGTGGAAACTTAGGGATTATTAAGGGATGAGAGAGACTTTTACTAGTAACATGAACATTAAGTCATACGGAATATATAGAACTCAAAGACAGGTGCCACAGCCTCGCGATCTCTCTTGCCACCATCATCTGTCTCCCAGTAAGACTTTTATTTTAAAAAATATCACCCTTATCGTTTGCTGTACTTAAGCCCTGTCCAAAATAAAATCATCTCAAGATCGCAAGTGCAATCCTAGTGAAAAGTGTGGCGGCAATCTCAATCCCCACGAGAGATGGTCTTCCACTGCCAGACGCAGTAGCAAATATTTGCAATTATTTATAATATTTTTATGAATCCCATGACGCACATGACGCAATGTTTCAAGTGAAAAGCAACTTTTGTTTTCATGAAAATACATTATAAAGATAAAGATAAGGATACTAAGCCCTCAACTGAAAAGATTGGGATACACGCTCTGAAAGTACTTGAAAGTGGGGTGTGGTGCTGCAGTTCTTTTGAATTGCATGCCAATTAGGTGAAAAATCCCCCATTGGATTATCATGGAAATGTACGTTTTTCCAGCTGCCGTAAGCCTTTTTCCTGCTCAAGTGTGGGCGTGATTTTCCTTTCCTGCTGCTGCTGTTGCTGCTGCCAGGACAAAATCAATATGGTTTATGTAATTCCTAGCAACGCGATGCCTTCGTTCATGCAGATTTACGGCAAGTCGGGGCGCGCGTGTCTGTGTCCTGGCCGAAGGACGTTGCATAAGCTGATGGCGTCCAGCCATCATCAGGCGGCAGCCCACACGTTTGTTGTGCCACAAGCGGGGCCTTGACCTTGGCCCTGCCCCAGAGCAACAACTGGCCCCGAGGTTGCATCAATAATTTAAACGATTCGGCCGGCACTCTCTTGAGACTTGCACATATTTTTGGAGGCCTCTTTTTCCTCAATATGCATTCAATGTCAGGCTCTGGACATATGCGTTTATATCTCTGTCGGTGGTCCTGGCCATGGCCCTGGCCCTAAACCTTGTCGAAAGCCAAGCGAGAAAATCCATTTCCGCCATCAAGGACGCCTGGCCGTTTTGGGCGTGTTTCCATTTCAATTTATATTTTCAAGTGGGAAATCGCTTATGCTGCAGCTTCTGAAATTGAATAAGCGGCCAAGGACCCTCAGGAGACCAAAAATAGATGGCAATACGAGGCATAACACATTTATAGCAAATGGCTATCTGCGTTTACTTCCTGTTAATGGAACCAAAAATGTTTTCTATGCAGAAATCTACCATAAACTAGATTATTTTTTGAGTAATTTTAGAATCTCTAGCAAATGTGGTAGCCTAAGCTGTGATGGTCTGCGAGATCGACGAGTATGTAGGTGTTCTTGTGAGCGTAAAGACAGAGAAACCTTCAAACGAATAGACAGACAGACAGAAGAACGGATAGGTGGGACATTTCCAGATCGATCCGCCTGCCAACTGATTAGTTTTTCTAAATAAAACATCTCCCGCCAATATATCATGCGTCTTACTTCCGATTGCTCTTTTTTTAAAACAAAGAGAAAGAAAGCATTTCTTACCCAATAGAATAATTGAATTATATGGGAATCAAACTAGCCTTGGAACTATGCAAAACTTCAGTTATTAATGACTTTCCCTAGACTGTTCTTTCCACCAATAGCTCTCTCCCAGTGAGACTTTCAATAGTATTTATATATACGAATACATACATCATATAGGTTCATTTTATAGGAACGATGATTCAGTATTGGCTCACTGGCTCGCTTCTTTTCTTATTTGCCCTTGAACTCGAATTGTAAGGGATAAGAAAACAGACTAGTAAAGGCAATAAAGAATATGTACTCCTAGATAGGTTAAAGGTTAACATAGCCCACAGGATAAAGAAAAGCGTTCTGCTACAAATTGCATGCAAATTTTCCATCATTGAAATGGAAATGTGGTTTGGCTTTTATAGCCGCCGCCACACAGACAGAAAACCCAACAGCAGATAGAAAACTTTAGCGTTTCGTAATTAATGGAAATAGTTTTGCATACCCGACTGCCCCATGCCTCCAAATATATTTATATATATGTACATATATGTGTATCCACCATCAATTGCGTTGCACAACTGCCTGTTTATGTTTTGGTAATAATTTTCATATTTCCTTATTTTATTTTTTCACACTTTCAGGTTTCCATATGACGCCCAAACTGCATCTAATATTTCCGGAATCATGTCTACTGATTGTCGTGGGCGTGGTCATCGGAGTAGTCCTGTATTTCTGCACCGATGTGGCCGTCTCTCCGTTGACCCCCAACACGTTCTTCTTCTATATGCTGCCACCGATTATCCTAGATGCGGGGTACTTTATGCCCAATCGATTGTTCTTCGACAACCTCGGAACCATCCTACTGATGGCCGTTGTCGGAACCATCTTCAATATAGCCACAATCGGTGAGTGGGGTGGGTCTCAGACTGAAACATGATCCAGATAGCGTTCTTTCTTTGTCCTATAGTTGATGGCTTGATAAATAAAGGTGGCGGGTAGATGGCTGTGTTCCATGCTCTCCGTAATCCCATCCATCTATGTCCATCAACTACTGGCACTATCGGTCAATGGATGTATTTAATTTGTGGGTTTAATGTCGTGTTTGTTTTGGTTGTGGAAAGTGTGGTCATCGAGGGGCTGGGTTGGTTGCTCAGCTCCTACAAAATAATCAATAATTGGGATATTCAACTAAATCTTTTTCATATAAAATTGTATTTAAATTTCTGAGCCTAGAGCTATTGGTGACCCCGATTTAAAAAGTGCTTAGCAATCATAGAACCCCTCAAACCGAATGTCCTGTGAAATGTACAATATTGACGCACCTCTCAAATAAAATTGTTGTATATTGAAACAACAAAATCCGGCCGACAATTAGAAACACAAACAAAATAACCATTTTGGTCAACAAGTTAGACAATTAGACAAAAAAAGGTGACAAAAAAGGTGGCAGGTAACACCCCAGCTATAGACACAGCCACCAATTAGACACATGATACAGATGAGCAAAGTAAATCATGAATCATGTGAATGGAGATGATTGAAACAAAGCTGCGACGAGACAATGTATGAATGATTCGATTCTCCGCCCTGTATAAATTTTGTGGCACGCGAACAGACATTGCCAGACAGACAAATGACAGTCAGGGGAGGAGGCGTGGCATTGGATATAGCTTGTAACGAGAAGAGCGCTTAGATGTGATTTACACAAAGTGTAACAAAACATGCGATTGATGTGGATAGCAAACAATGTTTCAAGTGATACAAAGGGGGAGTGGACAGACGCCAGTTAGATGAACGACCGACACCGCCAAAACGGATGCCGGGGGATACACGCTTGAGTTGCCTCAAACAATACCATTCAACAACCCGATCCCCATACCCTTACCCTTACCCTTACCCTTACCCTTACCACATACCCAGCCCTAGATGGCAATTACTTATGTTTAGCAAATTGGATTACATACGAATGCGAGCGAGAACATCACAGTGAATATACGCGAACGAGTGCGAGTGTCTATCGCACTTCATTTGAAAAATTCCCATTTCATGAATCATTTATTCAGTTGGGAGCTTAAGCTTCATTCTGATATTCAAACTATTTTATCGTATCTGGGAAAAACTAGATTATTTTAGGGCTCTCGAAGAGTGTTATGTTCTCTATGAAGTTGAGCTTTTAATGTAGGAAGTATTAAAGGGGATATAGAAATATTTGTAAGATAAATAAGGAACACTTTCTGGTATTTGTTTAGGGAATGTTTTAAGCCCTGAATAAATGAGTAAGACTCGAACTCTGGACATCCAGTATTATTGTAAAGTTGAACATAAGCCCACCACAGTGCCGTCGAAGAGTTGTAGAATGATTACGTAAGGAATTTCAAATATCTTTAAATATAATTAAACTTCGAAATCAAGAGTGTCTAAACCGACAAATATCGATAGTGGGTACAACAATAAAAAGTAAACAAGCGTGTCGCGTCATACAGCAGTTCCTCTCTGTCGTTTTGTAGGCTTAGGCCTGAAATCAGCATCATAATAAGGCAAACTTCTAGGAATCCAATTAAATCAATAGAGTTTAAGTACATATAGTCGTATATTTGATGTACAACAAAATGCTTATTGGTGACCCCGTTTCCACCTCTCAAATTGCTGACCACAACGGTAGCTCATCTCTGTAGCATTCCATTCATCGAATTCTTGGAAGAACATCAACTAAACACCTCTGAAAGAGCTCAAATATAGTAGCTGCCATTGTATATCACCTTCTCGAGTATCCGTATCTGTCCACTTAAGAACATTGAACAAATAGCCATAGCAAACAATCATTTTGCGTAGTTACAAATTAAATTACTGGCGGAAGAGCTCGTCTATCAATTGACTTGAGTAACTTCGAGATACTACTCGTACAAGTAGTAGTTCAATGTCAATGTCACACACGAACTGCACTCTATTGGCCCTGCAATGGGTGGAGACAATCTCTAATTAAGTCCCAGGAATTGATGGGCTAGAAAATAAATTACGTGAAGGCATCCTCTCATCCTCAACTTTTTTCTGATTTCTCTCTATGCAGGCGGTGCACTGTATGCCTGCGGATTGACCGGCATCTATGGGGAGAGCCAGACGCCTGGACTGATGGATATCTTCCTGTTTACCTCGCTGATATCCGCCGTGGATCCGGTGGCTGTGCTGGCCGTATTCGAGGAGATACACGTCAATGAGATCCTGTACATTGTTGTCTTTGGCGAGTCCCTGCTGAACGATGCCGTTACGGTAAGCAAAGAACGTTATTGATTGACGGATGGATGGTCCACGGATGTCGAGTCAATTAAGTCAACAGCCGCTTGACATGCTTAATGGATGCAACAGCTTAACTTGGTTTTCCATTCTGCTCCTCCCTCTCCCCGTACAGGTTGTCATGTACCACATGATGGAGGGTTACACGACCATTGGCTTGGACAATGTGATACCCCAGGATATATTTAGTGGTTGCGGTTCCTTCTTCATTGTGGCCCTGGGTGGCACAGCTATAGGCGTCATTTGGGGCTTCCTGACGGGTCTGGTGACACGTTTCACGGATCATGTGCGTGTAATTGAACCCATATTCATCTTTGTGATGGCCTATCTGGCATATCTGAATGCGGAAATCTTTCATATGAGTGGCATATTGGCGTAAGTATAAAATATAGCATGAAATGTGTGATATATCATTCAAATGTCTTTTATTTCCAAAGGATTACCTTCTGTGGGATTACAATGAAGAACTACGTAGAGTCGAATATATCCCAAAAGTCGCACACAACCGTGAAATATGCTTTAAAGATGTTATCCAGTTCGGCGGAGACCATTATCTTTATGTTCCTAGGCGTAGCCACGGTCAACAATATGCATGTATGGAATACATGGTTTGTGGTCCTAACCATTACCTTCTGCTCTGTGTTTCGGGTGTTAGGTGGGTATATCTATGGTTTATTTGCGCACCAAATGCATATTGAACTCTCCTTCTTTTAGGTGTCATCCTTCTGACAGCCATTGCCAATCGCTTCCGTCTGCACAAGCTGTCGCGTGTGGACCAGTTCGTGATGTCGTATGGCGGCCTGCGTGGCGCTGTGGCCTTTGCCCTGGTCCTACTGGTCGATGAGAACGTGGTCAAGCAGAAGAACATGTTTGTGACCACCACCATAGCTGTGATCTACTTTACCGTCTTCCTGCAAGGCATCACCATCAAGCCGCTGGTCAGCATACTGAATGTGAAGCGTGCAAATAAGCGTAAACCCACCATGAATGAGCGTATACACGAGAGGGTAATGCTTCTTTATAGCAGTAATAGATATTTTGAGACTTATTGTTGACTTTTGCGTTCCAGTTTATGGATCATTTGATGGCAGGCATTGAGGATATTGTGGGCAAGACGGGCAACTATAATGTGCGTGATAAATTCAAGCGTTTCGACAATCGCTTTATACGCCCACTGATTATAAGGGATCTGAAGGTGAGATTTGGTTGTTCGTAGGAAACAAAAGCTGAGGATAAAACAAAACACATCCCCTGAATCCTGCCACACAGGAAGTGCATGAATTGCATCTATTGGATCATATACCCATGCAAAACTATGAGAAGCATTTGAATAGGAATAAGCCAAAGCCTATAGACCGAAGGACGACGACCATAAACCTTCGACGTCTGTACGAAGGCGATGCAGAGGCTTAGTGTTAAGCGAATTATTATTTGTAATCCTTTTGAGGGATTAAAATACTCAAATATATCCATTCCTTTCCACCTTCCTTACACCTTCAGGGAGCCGAACCGAAGATCATTGAGACGTACTCGAAGCTAACGATGCGCGATGCCATGGAGGTGATGCGACGAAATCCCTCCACAATTGGCCAAATGACTGGCACCGAGTCGATGAGCGCTTTGTTTAGGAACTATACCAATAACTATATTGGTGTCAGGTGGGCACCGCCAACCATATATACCACATGGTAAACGAATTTTGGATTGAATCCGGCACGCTAAGCCGATGCTCTCAATATGATATGTCTGTATTCACACCAATCGATCTAACGATCGATCTGCATGCAGTACGAACTGAAACTCAAATCTATCTGTTGTAGAAGTAGCATGAAACTCTGCACAAAACTTTAGTTCTATTTAATCCGGCCACTAACCAAACCAAAACCCAACAACATTACTACACGTCTATATATAGATCTGTTGATCTGAAATTCGTTTAACCACTCGTATGATTTACTCTTCTTGAAACTTTTAGAACTGATCTCTAGCTTGTCTTGTTATTATATTGATAACATATATTAATGTCATGGTGTGCTTTTGCAGTCCCAGTCTAACAAATCTAGACAATACATGTCGAAACCTGGACATGGCTGAGCTGGACTATAATCCATCCAAGAAGGATCTGACTGATGCCAGGATCCATCATCTGTTGGCCGAAGAGCTGAAGCCTTATAGAAGGGTATGTATTATTCGAAAACGGAATCGATTAGAATATCCATTTTTTTCAGTTTCGTTCCTCAATTTTGCAGTCACTTTTCTTTTGGTTGGATTTTCTATATAGCGTAAAAGTTTAGCACACCACCAGCCCAAAGAGTTTTTGACTCTATCTGTCAATCTATCTGTCACCACTTCTTCGTTCTCTCTCTCTCTGTCTATCTGTATCTCTGCTAGTTATTCACTGAAGCATCTCTATATGCCAAGAGGTCTACTGTAACTTCTTCACCTTCGGCTTTTCTGTTCTTTGTACTTTTGGGCATTTAGTTTTTGAGACACTCTATGCTTTCTAGCTCTATATAGCCTCAATCCGCCGACTATATACATATATACTATATATTATATACATCTATAGATATATTTGTGATTAATCGTTTATTTAATTTCTCTCCCGTTGTTTCGATTACTCAACATCAACTTCTCGACAACGGTTGCAAAATAAATCCAAAATCCGCTTTCGTGTGCTTATAAAAAATAAACCCAAAAATAATAATAATACATTTCGATAAACTATCGATTTATTGTCGATATATATTTTCGATAAAGGCCTCAATACAAATGGTACGAATAAATTGGTTAATTGGTTTTAGTTCTATTTGATTTGATCTGTTTCTTGATTGATTTTTGATATAAACTTCGTTTCGGATTAACTATGAAACTCAAAAACTTTGTTAAGTGTTACACGTTCCTTCTGTGCTGTGTGTGTCTCTGTATCTCTTTGATTGCAACCAACAAAAACTTTAATCTCGTAATCTACTTTTCTAAATGTTCTCTAATTGGTGTTCTCTAATATGATCTCATACTATTAATTGAATTATTTAATTAACAAAAGGCAATGCTTAAATCCGCCCATTAATATGCATTACCTGAAAAGCAAATAGAAATTTCGAATAGACAGGGGAATATGATTGATTATTTTATTAGGATATACATGCCGTGTATGCACTCATATGCCATGTGTCGTTGGGCATTGGCTCCCAATGTGAAAAACAGAATGGCCGAGAATGCAAAAACAAAATACATGTCATCTGCAAGACAATCCCATAAATTAAAAAAAAAAAACAACAACATGAATATCGTGTAGAGACCATAAAACAGAGAATATACCAAAATATACCAGTTTAAGATTGATAGTTTCTACCCCTTAACATATTATATTTCTAACTTATAAAAAATAAAAGGATAGAATTCTCTGTATCCTCACACGTTTTGGAAAAATGAGACCAGCAATCATACTTCCAAATTTTTAGGATTCCAAAAAGTTGGAGCTTTGCGATAAGTGAACACATTCAAAAGCATTTCCCAAAAGTCTCCAAAAAATAGGGGAAGAAATGAAATGTATTATATTTCCAAAACTGTAGAAAAGAATAACAGATCACACAAAGAATTCTTTTAAATAAAGTAATATATAAATATCTAATGTAAATGTTTCGTATCGTAAAAGTTAATGTTGACACTTACAAAAATACTCGAACACAAATTTCCTTAAGTAATTTAACTTTCTTTTAGAATATTCAACCTAAATCTTAGTTTTTTTGTCCTGAAATATATTTATTAAAATCTTTTTGATATGATTTTGTAGCTTTTTCCCTACTCTCTTAATGCTTAGCTCCCCCCTTGGCTTTCTTTTGTTTTCCCCTCTTCAGAACTACCCTTTCTAAGCACTTTAGTTTGTTATATTTGCATTAAATTCTTTTACACTTTATTCCAACAAAAACTAAATATACACACCATCCAATATACATGTTGTCTGTCCAATAATTGTTGTGCTCTCTCATATATATAGTACTTACAATATATATCCTAGAAAAACTAGACTTCGGTTAGCCGAAGAGCCACAAAAATGTTAGTCCGTACTAGACACAAGCACTCGATCTATGTTAATCTCTACTCATAAGCTGTACAAATGTTATGGAAAGTCGTTTTACACTTGCTCCGTTCATGTTTCTGCTAGTTATCCAGACAAATTAATCGTACTTTATATATACATACATATATATCTACAATACTATATATACTTGTCCTTAATTGCAACTGAAAAACTTTGTCTAACTACATCACTTCGTTGCCTGGCATTTTTATGATTTCGAAACCTAATTTGCATTCCATCAATGTTCTTACAGCACCGTCGTCTTAGTTATAGCCGACACGCAGTAGATGACAGAGATTTGTCCACACAGGTGAGTCGCGGTTGTCTCATCAGCAAGAAAGCAATCAGAACACACACAACAAATTATATTGCGTTTCCAATTTCTGGATCACTTATACGGAAGGACAGCTCATGGGAAACCCTCTCTCTTTCAGGTCAATTACAAAATGCAAATGAATTTCCGAAGGATGTTCAATGACCGCAAACATCACAAGCGCAGCAAACGTGGTGCTAACAATAAGGTTAGTAAATGCGTATAAATTATATATTGTTTAGCACATATTAATGGATATTCTTTTGCACCTCGCAGGAACCCAAGGAGAATGTGAAGCAGAATCATGTGTCGTTCCATGATTTCCAACAGAACGGCACCACCAAGCAGCTCTCCAATGGTACGAGTTCGAGTTCAAACCATTCACGAAAAAAATCTTACAGAAAAAGACATTCTCACAATTCACTTAACAAATATCGTAGATTAGAAATAGGTAAATGAAACGATATCAAATCAGCAACAAACAAACAAACTAATTAAATCGGAGCAGATCTCTCTGTTCCCAGATCAAAAGTTTTTCGTAGAAAAAAATCTCATGTAGATTTATCTTCTTTAGTTTTACACAGCCTTGAAACTGAAAATATTTGTAATAAATTAAAAAATAATCAAGCGCTGTCCATATCTAGAAAGTCATATTCCTTCTTTTTTATTGAAACACCCTGCTAAAAACGATTTATATAATTTATTTTCTTAATTAAAAGTTTGTGCATGAAAGGGAGTTTTTCTAAGGTTAAAATAAGCATTGGGCAAGTCTTTGAACCCAATTGAGGTTTGCACCTCTAATCTAATGCTGTAATGCTTTACAACTACAAAAACAAAATACATTGCGTATTCATGACGCAGGGTTTTGGTTTCGTTGGTTTAAATCAAAGATAAAAACCTTACAAGCTCTCCCCCAATACTTATACCCATACTCGTACCATTTTCATTTTATGTGACATATATTTTAAATAATTTTCCGAAAAATTGGCAACTAATTGATTTTCCCATCCCAAAATATTCTCTTTCTTCCCTGCATTGCCTTTCCAACCATCCAAAATGATGCTGCAAACACCCAATCCTACACACACAATTGGCCGAAAAAAAAAAACCAAAAAATCTGTAACTAAAACTGCATAAACACACTCCACACTACTGCCTCTGCCTGTGCCCTCATTTATTATGTTTAACCCGAACTGAAAACATTCAAAAGACTATATTAACAATGTACTTAATGAAACAGCCGAGGAGAGCCAACAGAATCCGAACGAGATCAATGTTGTTGGCGCCAGCGACGATTGGGATGACGGCCTGACCTTCACAGCCAAATCATCACGTAAGTAATGTTTAACGATCTATATAAAGTATACGAACGATCGTATATATACTTCCATATTTCTTGAATACTTAACTTTGATTTCGTTACTAATCTTTTGAGTTGAGAGGCGCTGTGACACATAGCCTCTGTCTCTATATCGACACTGTTTCGACACTTCCTTTCCTCCTTACTGTGAACCAACGTCGTTTTTTCTATCAGCAGTCATATGGCGATATCTGATATTTACCTTGTTTATCCTTGTTCGACTCGACCCTATGTTTTTTGTTTTGTTCACACAAAAATGCCATAATTTTAAATAATATTTTCTGTTTTCTGTTGTGAAAAAATGAAAGAAATCTTCAAAAGGTTTTAAACAGTTTTTGTACATAAACGATACTACGATTAAAACACACCTATCCAATCGAATAGTTTGAGTAAAGTAGCACAAGGTTTACGTAGGTAAATATATATGATTGATTTTTTGATTAAGCCATTCATTTCAACCAAAGATTATTGCAATTTGTTTTGTTTCCCCATTGGAGAAAGTTCTGCTAGCCCTTTTGATGATTTCATTTTCCATTTTCCTTGTTTTTTTTTTGTTTTTATTTTTATTGTGCATATGTGTTTATCCTCCTACAGTTTTAAATGAAAATCACCTAATAAAAGCTATAACAACGAACTTTCTATATATTTTTTTTCTTGTTTTATGCCTTCCCAAATTATTTCGAAAACACAAACCTGTTGCAAAAAATCTATTGCTGGGCGCAAAAAACATGTTGCAAAAAATATATATATCAATATGTAAATCGATACACACGATTAGCTGACTCGGATCGCGCGAATAACAATTCCCTGATAGCACATATACAAAACCTGCCCGGTTTTGATGCCTCCAAGGCGCGCATCGTCGTACAGCATTATGCCCCGAAGGCCGATGATCCCGACTCCGAGTTAGACTCGCCGGATCCAGTTGGACCCACAGCGGCTGAATTGATATTGCCCTGGCGACGGGATCGTTCATACCAGAGCATTGGTAAAAGATTATCATCCAGATTCAGATTCAGAACCAGATCATCATCAATCCATACCGAATTTTGAAACAAACCGAATAAACATTGAATGCTGTATAGAACAGCATAAGTCATGCACTCCTCTCGCTCATCAAACATGCTTAGATATATAGTTCCTTATTACATTAGAGTTATCCTTGTATATCATTCATGAATCAGTAGTGAACGGAAGTAAGGGAAGATCCTGTATAGATTCCATTCCTGAAAGATATTTTAATGTACATTTTCCTTCTTGTACAATATACTGTACTCTTTAGATCCCAAATCCAAAGAAATACATTCCTTTAATTTAGGGATATATGTACATATGTATGTAAATGTTCCTTCTACAATGAAAATATACCCATAATATGCCTTAGAGCTAAGAAATGATCAGGAAGTAATCAGACAGTATGGAATAAGATATTGAAGCTTGCAAACTGTGATTATTCGTAACGATATTTCATATAATTCCTTCTATTAAACAAAATTATGCCACTTACCTGATGTAATATATCAGGAATTCCTTCATAACTATAACTAAACTTGTTCCAGAATTGATACGTATTGTACGTATATCTATTCGAATATTCTTTATAGCATTCTTTATAGACCAAATCTTCCGCTTTTTTCCGAAACAGAATGTATTTCCTTACCAGTTTTGATATATCCAAAGCGTATCTACCATTCAACTAAAAATACACACACAAAATACATTCGTACATTACCAACATTATGTGTACTTTAAACTCAACTCGACTCATAATTCCTATAATACTCGTATAATGCCAGTCATGTATCCAATGCTCGTTTATATAGTGCCACGAGCTTAGTACGGCATCTTTTACATCTGTGCTCAGCACTTTGCGCGATTTGATAACTATTTTTGATTGAGTTTAACGATTTATATTTAGTGCCTAATCTGTACCTTTTATTTTCGTTTAACTTCAGTACATTCTAATCCTTTGATTTGTTATCGGAAATTGTAACCCATGTTAAGTGTTACTTAGATGTAGTCCAGAAACCCATCTCAAAATAGCTGTCATTACCATTGTGTTTCGTGCGTCGCTAACATAAAATTGTAAAATTTCTTGTAGCGGCAATTTCCATTGATTGAAACTCGATTGATTGATTGGTAGTAAATTCTAGACCACGAATGAAATTGAAAGTTGCCTTTTGCCAAAAGCCCAAATTTCATGCATTTTATCTGCAAATTCTTACCAAAAAAATAATAATTTTAAAAACACTTTTAAAATGAAAAAAGAACTAAACTGAAAAAAGAAGAACCATCAAAGCAAAGCATGGCATTTTTGTGCATGACGAAATTTCTTGCTTATTTTTTACTTTTTTAGTATTAATTTAATTTTTATTTAAAAATGGAGTTAGGTAAATTTAATGGATACTTGGGGTAAAGTGAACAGGTCCTTATGTGATTATTTCCTTTGGGACAGTGTAGGTAGATCTTAATGTGCTGTGTTGTATTTATAGTTAGTGTAGAGATCGGGTCCTAAATCATGTTTTTGTTATACCAGCAAAATTGATTGACCACTAATTTAGTTTATTTTTGTATGTGATGTTTTCCAAGAAAACCAAATCACAATCATAAAGAGGAACACGTACTGCAAAACTAAAACAGCCATTAGTCCGTTTCTACATACATATATGTACAATGTACATATATATATTGAAACTTAATCTGACTTAAAATATGCATTGATAGTGTCCGAAAGCCAGGTGTTCAAAGAGCCAAACGATAGGTGTGCTTCTACGTATTTTATTCGTTCTGGCTATACAAATTAACCAATCGCGACGTTTTTCTGCAATCGAGTAGATGTGATCATTTTTTTTTGATCCTGCGTTTACTGATTTATTGTATCTTCAAATGTATTTTCTTTATAGTCGCTTCGAACAAGGTGAGAACTGATAAACAGACATACGGACAGACAGACCTATCCATATCGCCTTGGGTATCGGAAATTCATGTGATTTCCCTTTTTATGGATAGATAGATCAAAAAATAAAACTCTATTAATAGTAGGGAACTTTAAATTGATATCTTGAAAGCATTTATTGATTTAAATCAAATCTTGGATGAGAAATATCGCAGTTCAGAAGCATATAAATTGACAAAATAGAAATATTTTACTATTGAAGATTGTTCCATATGTTTTAGTGGTGGTTTCGAAACTCTGTTTGTTATAGGGAATTCTTATAATTTTATTCGATATATTATTATTTACTTCTTGTACCTAAGTTCGGCGCACTTTGTTTGTCTTTTAAACCCATGTGACTCGTGTTCCTCCTCCCATCAACTGCGCTTTTGTTTCGATTCCATTGAACGATATATCTACCGATCGAATTGGACCACCCAAAACAGAAAAAAATCTCTAAATGCGATCGATGCAGTGTATAAACTGTATGCTGCATGCCCGAGCAAAGACTTCCCAATAGATCTGTCCGACTTCGAAACCTATTTGCATTTTTCACCGCCTTTTCTTTTGTGATCTAGTGGCCGAACATCCCATACCCGAGGAGGATCGGAATCTGTCCCGCGAATCGGATGGAGAACGACGCGTGGCCACGCCCACGGCCACCGAATCGCAGCTGCCGTGGAAGCGCGGCGGGGAAGAATGCACGGATGCAGTGCAGCAGAACGAGTTTCCCGCCTGGGCCTCGAACAAGGAGTACTTGGCCTACAATTCTCCAAGCGCAACATTCCTAGGTAATGTATAAAGTAATAGATCTTTAAACGATCCTTCCGGGAATCTCTTAATGGGGGGAATACATACACAAATCTGAAAACTGAAAACTAAAGACCAAACGGTTATTGAGGGGTCGTTCTTCTTATGTCCTCATTTGATTTGATTGTAAATTGGCTTTTACAAGGAGGCTGCTATTCCTCGAATCAGATCTGTATATATCGGTCCTATCTATCAGTACGTGTGTATATATATGGTTTACTTGTTTCCTTTAAAAGCACCATCAAAAATTCTACTGAAATCGGAAAGAAAAATCCATTACACCACCCTAGTTTTTGTGTGTTTAATGTATTTGTTGATTTTTCATGTGATTTTTCCTTAACTTTGTTTTTTCTTTCTCTCTTTTCCCGCATTGTTTTCCTTCGGTAACTGTTGCCCCACTTCCACGCTCCACACCACCACCAAAAAAAAAAAACACCTACACTTGCCACCACACCATGTAAAAACTCGTTGTAAAACTGATCCGAAACCGATCCAAAAACTGATCCGAACTGACCCAACAAAAAGGTGGTATAAACAAGCCTAAACAGCCCAAGTCCGTCATAGGTCTCTTTCGGCGTGAGAGTTCCAGTTCCAAGGGCGGCAGCATTGGCATCGGCAGCACCGGTGCCGTGGACGCCACTGCCAGCGGTGATCCCATGGTTGTGCCTTCGTCTACCATGATGTGTCCCCCAGGTGCGGCCCTAAGCACAGCCCCCTCCACGTCCATGCACAATCCGCGCCTGGACAAGCGCTCCCAGTCGATATCGTCGGGTTCACTGGGCGGCGGCGCCAGCGGTGGCATGGTCCCCCACCACCAACTGGGTCCGGATGGACACTCCGGCCCGTTTCCAGTCACCGCCAGCCATCGGCGAAATGTCCGTCGCGGCTCCATGCTGGAGCTCACCGGGTAAGTTCCACTCTTCTTTTTGGTCAGACACCAAATATTCACGAATATGTCTGTGTTGTTCCATTGATTTTGTGTAGATATGTACATTGTACATACATATATCTCATCAACTGTCTTGTTTTGTATAATATCATGGCTGATATCGTTTAAAATGGGTCTTATATGTGTGTTTTAATTGGAAACAAAAAGAATGTCTTAACTGATTATACTATTCCGCATTGTGGGACCCATTTCAGTACGATTTTGTTTTACTATGGCGCTTGTATATTTCTTTTAGCTTCTTAATATTCTTTCTTTACTAATACCTAAACCAATTTGATTTTTGTCTACATTTTTACATTAATCCGTAGCTTGCTTCACTTTATTTTTCTATGCTTCAATTAGATCTGTGTAGATTTTTCTGTAAATATTTAATTAAATAAAACATCAAAAGACTGAACTAAACAAATACTTTCGTGTTTTTTAAACATGCAGAACCTAAAATTCATTGTCTTTGGAGCATGTAATAGCTTCAATGCAATTTTTAAAAATTTAAGACTGCACTTTGTAAATTGTTTTTAATGATTTTTCTATTTCCGATTTAAAAAAAAAATTAAATATTTTTTTACGCTTTTTCAAACCAAAAGTTGTTTAAAAATAATATTTGAAATCAAAAACTACAGAAATTGTTCAATTTCCCCTTCCAAATTGTATTAAGTCGTCTTCTTCCAGCATTGTAATGTTTTTTTCTGTCATGGAGAAATCAAGCTCAGACTTTCTGGTATTTTAAATTGATTTTGTGCCTTAACGAAAAAAAATGTGTACCAAAAGCATTTTCATTTCAAAAACCTAATTTTCAATTTTGATTTTTTTAAATTTCTCAAAAAAGGCAAATAACGGTTCGCCTTCAGGAACATTTTTAATTTGTGTTCCATAAAATTGTTAGCAACCCTTTCCCTATATGGCTTTATTGTTTTTTATTTTTTAGAAGAAATGTACAGAATTCCAATTCCCAAATCCACGAGAAAATCGCCTACTTCCCATTAAAATACATTTTTATTTCCCAGGAGCAAATTCAAATGATTTTTTTTTGAATACTCAAGATGTATATTTTTATTCCAACTAAATTGTTGACCAATTAATAGAGTTGGAAGAATTGAAAAGAATTTTATTTGCCAAGATTTATTCCATTGGTGAAACAAAAACACAAAATTTAAGTCTTTTAAAAAAAAAATCTGCAATTCGTATTGAATTATTTTTTTAAATATCGCAGAGGGTTCCCAAAATAAATCATAATTATTTTGTATTCTATTCATAAGTGTTTCCACTGCCATGGTATTTTTTGCACCCTGTTCTTCCGGCGAAGGCATAGCAAAGTTGTTGAAACTTTTTAATTACATTTGCTATTAAAATTTCCAAAAATATTGCTCGCACTCACCAACAACAACCAAACAAACATTTGTATGTGTGTGCGTATGTGTTGTGCTGTTGTGCAACTGTGTGCTGTGTCCTGTGTCTATCTATCGTTGATGATTATTTTACAGACTAATTGTAACTGGACGCAGACCCAGTAGAATTTTGCATATTAGTCCGGGAGCCGCTACTTTACTAGAATCAGCCAAGATCACAGCAACTCCTTCTCCTCCACCTCCTTGTACTTCTACTCGACCTTCTACTTCAACAACAACAACAACAACAACAGTTCCAACAACACCATCAACAACAACAACAATAACTACATCCACCTCCAAGAACAAGAACAACACCTCCAACAATCCAACAGACAGCACAACAGGGAGCGCGTCAAGCTCCACGCCCACCTCCACCACATCAGAGAGTAGCGCCACATACTACTATCCCAAGTAATGAGTAATCGAATGATATAGTAATGATATCAAAATGTCTAAAGCGCAAACCAAACCGGCCATTAATCGAATTTTCTGTCTCTGTGAACCATGAGAGACTCAGTCTAACTATCGCATATACTAGTATATACTACATACATATATACTAACAAACACTATCTTTATATACTGTATATAAAGCCCACAGATCAGTGCATATCATTGTAGAGTAACAGTCAGATATCCCTTCTATCCGTAGGCTGAACTTTGATAGCAATCTTTCTCATCTCAAATATCTAATCCCAAATGGAATTGGTAAACATGTATCTAATCGATTCTGTGGGGCACCATTCCCTTTGCAATTGGCAGAAGCTTCAATCACAGCACTCGTACACATACACCCCTCCCGATCTAAGCTGGCCCCCCTCCAATTTCTCCTCAATTTATCCCCACTGTATATAGTATATATTCTGTATGTATATATATATATATAGGAAGTTGTTTCAATTGGATGGATCCGATCTATTTTGCATCCATGCACTTTCTGATTTCGAAAAATTATGCTGGGCTGCTGAGGTAGTCCAAAATGTGCTATTGTGTTAATTTCAGTTTATTTTCGTATAACAGTTGTATAACAGTCGTATAACCTTTTATGTATAACGGCTACACGGAAGCTAAAATTGTTTTACAATTGTATAACAGCTGCAGATTAGTCGTATACCAGTTGTATAACAGTGCAAAACTGGCTCAGCTGAATATATGTTGTATGGCAGTCTGTCAACTGTCTATATAATAGCCGTAAAATTTTGTTCAACCGTTTCACCGTTATTACATCTCGTATACTAGTACTCTTATACCCGTATACTCTTGTATACTAGTTTTAACAGGTTTGATTTTATTTCTTGATTTCAATTTTAGAATTTTCATTTGCACGCTTTCTCTGTATGTTTTATATGTTTCTGTGTGTTGAATCTAATATGTGTATAACATTGTTTGTATATAAATTATAAACAACTTGTGTATCCGAATTCCCGTCCAGCTTTCGACCTAATCCTTGCCTTAATCCCCACCCCAAAAAAAGCTAACCCCAACTAAATGCAATGCAATTTCTTAACCATTAACAAACCAACAAAAAGACACTGAAGGAAATTACTTCAACTAAATGTTCACACGATTGTCTGCTGTGCTGCTGTGTTTCTTTGTTTTGTGATGATTCCCAACAAAAAAAAATAAATAAATAAATAAAAACCAAGTAACTAAACTAAGGTCGAAATATAAGAAATAATTGAACGCCAATGAATTGGTAAACGATTTTATGAAAAATTATTATTTTTAGCGCCGTGTCAATTGAGTCCGAATAGCCCAAAACCGAAACCGAGCACAGAGCTAGAGGTAGAGCCAAAGCCAAAGCACTTTCCGTTAGCTAAATCACAGCATCCACTAAATCCACCCAAAAACCGTTCTATAGCACACACACAGACCCAGACACACCCATGCACACAGACACCAGACTGTTATACAGTCGAGCACCTGTGATAACATCCGTAGAAAAATTAAAAACAAAAAACACACACCTAAAACCAAAGTGTATCTGTTATGGGCTTTAATCACACGAATTATGTGTAAGTATTAGACAAAAACTTATAATCGTTCTACTAAAAGTAGAGGACACGTGATCTGACACCCACTAACTCCTACAATAACTAATCATTAAATAAAACCACTAAAAACAAATGCAGTCTAACATACTGTGCTAATCACTAACGATGATATTTCTTAAAAAAATCGATAAATAGACGCCGAACAGACTGGTTCTTCTCTCATGATGTACATAAATCTCTTAAGAAATTGTATTGTATTTATGATAGAATTTAGATAATTGTAAATTGTAGAGTACCCCTATCGTAACTGCTATACTGTGCCTTAAACACCGTCGTCTTCCTTCTGCGCTTGCTCTTGTACCCGAACTCCCATTTTCTGTTCCATTTTAATTTGCTTTTTGTAGTGCTCAAAATAAATATACATAAATATGTATTTATTAAACAACCTTTTATTATTCTGTGCTTTTAAATTAAGTCTTAAGTTTCTTTTCAACTAGAAATTATTTAAAACCCTACTCGTACTATAATTAGACTTAGACTCATGCCCAACATTTACTAAATCAAAGCCCAAAAACCTGAAACCCCCAAATCAGTTCATCAGCCAAAATTGATCACAACTTTGACATTAACTTTCTACGCCTTCTCTTCACATCATCCACCACCCATCGACCGTCACCACCTCCAACACCAACCAACAAACCAACAACAACAAAACCGCACACAAAACACAACCACCACAACAGAGACACAATACCCGAGGAATCAACGTACCAACACGGACACTCGAAGTCTCTCTGCGAGCCTGCGGACACCGACGACTGGGAGGGTGCTCCTCTGACAGCCGCCAACGGAGCCAACAGCGAGCGCCTCATGCACAGTGGTCGGGAGCCTCTTCTGCCGCGCCTTGGGGCAACGCCACGCACCCAGATCCGACGTATGAACGCGGGAGCGGTTGGTGGCTCGGCAGTGGGTGTGCCTGGTAGAAAGAACCAGGTGACCACGGCCTTGCTGGACTATGAGGACACCGACTCGGACTCTGATGAGGAGGAGGAGGATGACGATGAGGACGAGGATTTTGATTTGTATGACGACGAGAATATTGTGGTCACCACCTTTACAACGCCGGCCACGCCACGGCACCACGATGTGGGTCGACGACTAGGATCGAGTCCTGACTCGGGTTCAGAGCCCACCACCAAGACGACGACGACGAGCATTCGACTGACACGGAACAACGACGAGAGCATCATTTGAGTGTCAAGCACCGAGGGCGATGTGGCCGATGTGGCCGATGTGGAGGAGGCGTCTTAGCCGTTCGAGGAGTCTGTTCAAGTACGAGATGTTCTACTAGGGGTCTGCAATCTGCAATCTGCAATCTACGATATGATGATGAAGGGATATACATTTATATGGATTAATTTTAAGCATAAAGTTGACAAAACGTTGCAAAATAGTTTCCCCGAAAACGGTTTAAAACAAAAAGCTTTATAAATAATAAAAACAACAAATCAGACAGAAAATTAGATAAAGAAAAGTAAAAGAAAAATTAATGAAATTGGAATGTATATATCATAGAACGAAATTTGAGCCACAAATTGATTTATTCTTGTTTCCTCGTTTAAGTCGCTTCTTAAGGTTTTCATTCTTTGGAGATACCCGAAAGGTGGGTACACTTCCAGTTTGTGTTTAGTGTTTAGTCTCGAGCAATTGTTATAATTATTGTACCGTGAACATGCATACTTAGTACATATATAGAACCGATATTTATATTATATACTTTAGTGATTACAGCTGATGTGTTCCAAATAGCAAGAATATGAATTGTGTAATAATTAAACGAAGCGTAGCCAAAGTTCATTGACAAACGTTGATTTCGTTGTGTTTTAGTTTAGCGAAAATGTACTACTACTACAATTATGTAAATTCTGATTCAGATACAGGTACAGACACAGATCGGTACTTAAGCGCGCACTTAGTTCGATATGAATTTAGTGATCCGCAGAGTTTAGTTCAATTTTAGCCTTAGTTCTATGCGTAACACCTTATTTCTGTATAGCCGCAGAGTCAATACCAAGAATTATCGATGGGATGTTACTACAAATTAAAGAATTACTCTTTGGGAATAAAAGTTTAGTGCATTAGTAACTTCGTTTCGTTTGGGATAGTGGCTGATCTGTTGGCCCAAAACTATACAATATGTATAAATATATACACAAAACGATTAACTAATAGTGGAATGCTAAATGGCAAGAGTTATGTAATTTATAAATTATTTTTGTAAACATTTACGAACGATAATGATAAAGATAACTAAAATTACGAGAAATTACGCGAGAGTGTTTTGTGAACGATTTTTAAGAGTGTGGACACTGAGTGTATGTATGACTAGGATTGGGGCAAGCGAATGACGAAGATTTAGATGCTCAAACCCAAGTAAAGTAATCACTAAGAAATACATAGTTAAATATTCAATATGCTGAGGTATATAGAACAGAACAGAGCAGATCAGAAAGAGCCAACTAGAAACAAATACACGAGTAGCAGCCAATCACCAGGATCGGGAACGAAACCTACCTACCAACAAATATTTTCGTCTGTATACATCTGGGGTGGAACTCCTACAGGGAGTAAGAATGACATGGAACCTCCTACTAATATAAAATACTATATATATGTATGTATATTTTGTAATTCATGTGCAACGCGCCCTGTACCAAACTATAATTTAATTGTCTGCCTACAATACAATTAGTTGGTATTATGTTTTTTTTTATCCAAGAAATTGCCTTCTGAATATGCACGCTAGATCAGATCGTGTCTTGATTGAGATTGAAATTGAGATAGAGATACAGACAAAGAGATCTGCTTAAGTTCCAACTTCTGTCTACTGCATAGATTTTGTAATATTCGTTTTAATGTGCATTTTGATTTCGAACTGAAAGACAATAACCAGCCAGATGGAGAAAAACTACTTGTCCCCTGGAAATTGTCATTTCAATAAATCTGAAAAGGAAAAATTATGAAAAAAAAACTAACAAACAAAAAATAAAATCAGAGCTGTGTTACATTATGACCAGGTTTTCTATATAAACTTGACTTGTTCACAATCTGCCAACCAATAAAGTTATTCAATTATTAGCGGATTGTGTCATTGGGAATTTATATAAAAGACGCTGGCCCATAAATAAATTACTTACTTGCTTGAGAGCAGAGCATACATAGGAGTTAGAATCATATAAATAAATTGATTAATACCAAAAAAACGTTTGCAATTTTCATACTGTAGGCCTTAAGTTGTGCATATTTCAAAACGGATACAAACTGCAAACTAATAAATAATTCAAAATTTAGCAACACCCATGCGGAAACTGAAAACAAAACAGAATTGTAAATTGTTAAACTGATTTTAAATAAGCTATAAGACAATTTTAATAAAAATAAAACTAATGAACAAATCATTAAGAAAGAAAGCCTATTATTTAATCGGTGAATCTAGAGCATTATCTCGTTGCTTGGGCAGCACTAGACGCTCCATTCGATGATTGGCACTGTCCACCAGAGCATGGACTGGTCCATTAGCTGGGAGCTGAGGATCGATTGTATGGTACCCTGCAGATTGTAATCCACCGCCACAGCCGCTGCAAGGCCAGACGACTTGCGCTTTTACTGGGCCTGCAACTTGAACTCTGGATCCCTGCGGGACAGAAGCATTCGATATAGTTTTAAATAAAAGCAAAATGTTTAATTTTGTTTGAAGTTCCGTTTATACATTTATTGCACCAAATATGTTGAATTTTTGTTTTTTTTTCCATAATTTAATTGTAATGCTTTTTTGTTGTTTTCTTGTTACTTTTTTGGTTTTTGTTTTTTTCTAATTATTTTTCGAAACTGATATATTTCAATATTTTGTATGGTATTTCTTTTGCTCGTTAGTTTTGCATTTCTTGCAGAATTCGCTTTATATATATGTATGTGTGTATGTATATGTACTATATGCTGAAGATGGAAACACTTCCGTTATATAGATTTTGGTTGGTTTTGTTTGTATATAGGTAAATATATATCGATGGTCACCATTTCGCATTTAAA